CTAATTAATTAATTCCTATGAGAAATAAACCGTTCCTTCTATAAGTTTGGATTCCTTTATATATCTCTACCGGAACAATTATATGCTTATAGCATGGTCACTGACAAATCATGTCTTTTGATCCTTGTAGCAACTAGTTTTGTGAGAAATGGGGTTTATTAGACACAATTTAAAAATTCTGAAAGTTTAAGCATGAGAATCTAGGCAGCATTAGAAATGCATGAAAGTTATTTCTTTCTTGCCCTATGCTAATAAATGTTGCCCTCGGACTGGATGCAGATTGAAATAGGTAGTACTAACGTGAGAATTGGATCAACTATCTTTGGACCAAGGGAGTACGCAATTGAGATGAAAAATACTGTATATTGTAATATTTTCAAGTGATCATTTTTACATTTAAATTTCTACTATGTAGATTACTTCTATATTAAAGATGAAAAATATAAAATACTTCTCTCATGTCTTCTTGTTAATTGTTTGTATTCAATATCTTTAACAATGGAAGTTATTAGTTTATTACAATTTATGTAACACAATATATCATTTATGTGATTAGTCATAATTTTAAAATTTAAATATATTAATTTTAACTTGATAAAAAAAAAATTAATTTCAACTTAAATCATTAGTCGCTAATTGTATAAAATTTACATGTGTCATGGTATGATCAAAGTGTTGGAGAGAAAGTGTAAAAAGTGGGTTCCACCCAGGGACGGAGCTACCAGAGGAAAGGGCGCAGCTGCCCCCCCTAAGCTTTTGAAAAATGTTTAATCTAGTACATCAATTTTTAATTAGTACAAAATTTGTTTTTGATGTTTGAATTTAAAGAAAATATTTAGGAGCTAGATAAAGGGACCATTTCTTTCTTTATAATCAATTCTTAAGATAAATAGTTTTATTTGGGTATGAAAAAAATATTTTACAGTAGTTGTAATTTTTTTATAATTTATATTTTATCAATTTAACAATTGGATTTAATATTCTAATTGAAAGTTCATTAACATTTGTAATCATATCAAAAAA